GACAATGAACCAGTGGACGATCCAAGGGAGGAAGTGCCCACTCCGGTGGCACAACCTGCCGAAGATCTCGAAACGGTGGCGCTGGACGAACGTCAACTGGAGCGGTGTGTAAGGATCGGTACCATGCTGAATGCCACCCTCTGTTCCGAATTCATCCAGTTCCTTCGGCAGAATTCGGAGGTCTTTGCCTGGTCCTACAACGACATGCCGGGCATATCCCCTGACATCATCAGCCACAAACTGAGCATCTCGCCAGCATTCAAACCTATCAGGCAAAAGCGCCGATCCTATGATGCCGAACGGTATGAGGCCATGAAGAACGAAGTGGACAAACTCATGACCATTGGCTTCATACGGGAGGCCATATACCCAGAATGGCTGGCGAACTCAGTCATGGTTCGGAAGGCAAAGGGCGGATGGCAAATGTGCCAGGACTATACCGACCTCAATAAGGCCTGTCCGAAGGATAGCTTCCCGTTGCCACGCATCGATCAGCTGGTTGACGCCACTGCCGGTCACGAGCTGCTCAGCTTCATGGACGCATACTCTGGATATAACCAGATCATCATGCACCCTGCCGACAGCGAACACACGGCGTTCATAACCGACAAAGGCCTGTATTGCTATAACGTCATGCCGTTCGGCTTGAAGAATTCGGGGGCAACCTATCAGAGACTGGTCAACCGAATCTTCGCTGAGCAGATCGGCAGCACCATGGAGGTCTACATGGATGACATGCTAGTAAAAAGTCGAACGGCAGGCGAGCACCTAAAAAACCTATCGCTCATGTTTGGCATCTTGAAGGGTTACCGAATGAGACTCAACCTGACGAAGTGCGCCTTCGTCGTATCTTCCGGGAGATTCCTCGGTTTCATGATCAGCCAGAGAGGTATTGAGGCAAATCCCGATAAAATCAAGGCCATAATCGACATGGAGGTGCCGAAGACACAGAAGGACATCCAGAGCCTTACCGGACGAGTGGTAGCCCTCACTCGCTTCATCTCCAAAGCCACAGACAAGTGTGCACCGTTCTTCAAAACCTTGAAAAGGGGCAAACACCATATAGAGTGAACTGCCGAATGCGATAAGGCGTTTCAAGACTTGAATGACTATATGGGCCGAGCACCGCTACTGTCAAAACCCCTTCCTGGAGAAACACTCTCTCTATATCTATCGGTATTCAGCACTGCCGTCAGCTCAGTACTGATACGGATCCCAGAGAAGGCAGAGCTGCCGATCTTCTACGTCAGTAAGGCCCTTCAGGGGTCAGAGTCTCGGTACCCCCCACTCGAGCAGCTGGCTTTA